ATTATTAAATTTTCATTATTATTGAATGCTGAGTAAGAGTTAAATATTAATCATAATTTTTAAAATAGATATGTTAATGCTAATTTATTACTCTGTAAAGACACAACATTAGATTACCTTAATTAATGCATTAAAGTTCTATATGACGTTAATTATTTAGCTATTTCATCTTACAAGTTTCAACCAGTATTTCACAAAATACCTTCTTAATATATTTTGGCATTTGAAGCTGTTGTATAACAAGCTATTACAGCATCTATCCCTACAATATAGGTTAGTAATTTAATCTACAAAGTTTTAGAATATGTCAATTAATAATGTTAATAAACTGAAATAGAAGGAAATGTTTGAAATAATTACTTATAAAATTGATTATTCTTTTAATCTAGTATATTTAGATGGAACATAATTATGTCTGCATCCACTGTGGAAAACAGGCACCCGCTCTGTATAGAGAATACACTAAAGAATTGCTTAAAATGTGCCATTGCGTAAGTAATTTGCAAAAATAAAACATTTGTTTTAATAGCTAAGATTTATTACATCACAATTTAAATTAATATGTATTTTTCAAATGAACAATATGAAATTTGAAGCTGCAATCTGACAGTTTTACAATTTACAATAACTGAATTTCTCATTTTCTGAAGTAAAATGTAACATTTGATGCCAAAAGCATTGATTTTGTCATCCATTTTTTTAATAGTTATTTCTAATAAAATTTGAAGTTTAATAGGAAAATGTGATTTGACGTTTTCAAGGAAAACTGCAAGATGACCGTCGACAGTTACGTCGAAACGGAAGCTTCCATAATATTAATTGATGCGGTTCTTCAAAGAAAACAAGCTTACAGGCACATCCTTTTCAACACCGAGATTAAAGTAGGTATTTTTATCGGATTTGGACGATTTTAATTGTTTAAATCTCGTCTGAACTTTCTTTCAGTTCGTATGGAAACTGGCAATAGTGTTTTTGCTATGCGATGCTTATCAAAAGTGGATTTTGGACAGGGCAGTGCCTTGGAATTTCAATAACTCCAATGGCTTCATTTACTTAGAACTAGAATGGAATTTCTATTTTGCATGTTTAAAAGCCACAATAGGTAATTTAATTAACTTTCTCTCTTGGTAATTTGATTGATTAGTCTTAAAATTTTATTTGCAGAAAATTTGCTCTTCCTATTTTTTGTTATATTATTTATATTTATTATATACAAGAAAAGAATATCCAAGAAAAAGTAAATAATCTTTAAATGTTATAATTAACAACATAAACTGTCAATAGTAGTAAAAGATATATACATTTTAGGAATTCCACGACTAATTTATTGAACGGTCTCATAATATTTAGTTATGGAAAAGTATTTTACTTGCCGGCGGTTCTCTGGGGCATGCACAGCGGCACGACTACGGATTTTCTGATAACCGCTTTCATACTGATTTCGGAAATTCAAGCGTGCATAGGTAATCCGATTAGATTAAAATTTATATTTTGTTTGGAAACGTATCTTATAAAATTATCATCTTTCCAGTTACCATCGAAATACCGAAAGTATTTGCCACCGCAATCGTCGTGTTTAGTTACGTCTTACATCAAGCCATCGCCTCGGCCGTGTATAAAAATATTCATAATTAATTTGTTTATGTAAAAGCTCGTATTTTTAAAGAATAAATACACAATTTGTACTACAATTGCATTTATTATACATATTTGGTCCCTGATGGAGAATCTTTATAATTAAATTTGACATTTTATAGTACACACAATTTATGTATACACTTTTTTTTTATAAAAACAATAAAATTTAATAAACAATTTATAAAATCAATTTAAAATATTGTGGGAAGACTACATTTCAATTTGTTTTGCTTTCTGATGATGAGAAAATGCAATCAACAGCTTAAATTCACAAAGTGCATTGTAACATAATTTAAAATATCATTATAAATAATAATATAATTTTTAGAAAATGCAACATTTTTTATAAATTTCTTTGTCGTAGTTATTATTTTAATTTTTGATATAAGTTTTTTCAGTATTTTTATAAGAAATATGTTTGATACTTTTTAACATTGAGAATTATTTGCATTTTTTGCAAATTTAAGGCAAGTTTTATTCGTTTAGTTTCTTGATTATATATTACAGATCATGAATTGCATATTTCAAAATTCTAAAATTAATTTTATATAGTAACCTTCAAATTACTTGGAAGAATTATAATTGTTGTCACGTGGTTTCAATAAATTTGTTAAATGGCAAAGTAAAACTAAACTGCATATCATAACATTCAGACTGACAAATTTTGTGCAGCATAATGATTATCATCATCTTTCACTTGATTATCTACAACTCTATAAAGATTAATAATAATCGTCACTTAAGATATAAGAGGTAGCATTTGAAAGTTCTAGTTACAATGCTGAAATATATCTTCCTTCAAAATAAGCCTCCCTAAAACAATACACTTCTGCCAGTAGGTGTAGAGGTTGAAGAGGGTTCTAGAAGTGCTTCCACAATGTCTCCAGTTCAACCAGTGTTGCAACCTTTAAAATGTTTTTGTTGGCGAGAGCTGTCACCAGTTTGCCCGCAGTTTGTCTCTTCGACCTCTCCCCTGCCCTTCTTGAACCGTAGATGCCAACTGAAGAACTTTGACTGCAAGTTTTTATCACCATAAACCTACTTCAACATGTAGGTTTCCATTGGATCTTTGCACAAACAAAAACAAAATTTGTTAATCAGCTGCTCAATATTTCACTAATCACTGAGCATTCTGCTCCTTGCTTGTAATACCTGCATGTATTGTAGTGATCACTTGATCCATTTGGACAAAACCAAATAAACGGGTCAAGGATTTATGTCATAAACCAAGAATCACTTGACTGTAGTATATGCACGTTTCCATATGGAAACAATTCCAGAACTTTTGGATTCTACCTTGTAAATGTTTAATTATAGACAAATACAAAAACAGCTGTATCAAAAGTAGCACATGTGCTGAAAATAAAAAAGTATTAATACCTACTGTTCTGTTTGTAAATTTATATATTATTTGATGCAATTTTCATCACAACTCTTCTTTTAATTATATTAATCTTCCAAGCAAATTGAATGTAACTATACAAAAACTTGCATACTCACAACCTAAATTCTATTTAATATGAGCATTGCACAAATTTTATTATTTTTCAATCATTTGTACTTTCTAAAAGAATTATATTAATGAATTTTTCATATTAAGAACATGAGTTTTATATACAAAATGATTTTTATGAAAAAACTCATAATTTTGATCAAATCTGAATACAATATTTACATTTAATGCAGCACATTTTAATTCTAAAATACACATGCACATTATTATAGAGTAAATAGTAATCTTGTTTATTTTTTGCAGAGATTAAAATTTATTACAGATATAAAAAATACTTTTAAAGCTTTTGAAGTGTTTGGATTCTGACAATATATAAAAATAGAATATGTACAATAACTTGCTTATGGAAATTTTATACATGGTGTACTATTTTGTTAAATAGTATTAGTCTAATATTTTGGTAAAATGTATTTGGCATTCTCCCCAGAAATATATAGGCACTTTATGATTTTAAAATTTGAATTCATGTGGTATAATGATTGTGTCTAATGACTTGGAGACAATGCAAGTCATTAAAGACTAGTGTATAGGAACATGGGCATAGCAAGGGAGCCTGGGGGCACGGCCTCCAGTTAACCTGGTGCCCACCCCAGAAAATCACAGCCGAAAAAGTGTTGAGCCGATTTGCAAAAAGAAATAAAAGATTGAGGCTGAAAATTCTGAATCCTAAAAAAAAAAAATAAAAAAAAGGTCAACAGCTCCCTGTGCCCAATGTAACAATTACAGGAAGTTTCATATTTTGTGTGTGTTAAGTTATTGTCAATTCTTATGGAATTTTCATTTTAATGAACAATAATTTGAAATAATTCAATTTTGTGTCAGGTTGGCCTCTACTAGGCCCCCATAACAAAACTCTGGCTATGCCCATGTATAGGAACCAAACTTAACTTTTATTTGACTTTATGATTTTGTTGGTTCACACAGCCAATTTCTATGCACTTTAGAAGTGGAACAATTTTCAAAATCAAAAATTGTTTTTACTAACATATCGTTCAATTCACAATTAGTTCATTCAGTACCAACAAAAGGAAGTCCTATCCTTTGCCACAATGAATCGGTTTAAATTTGAATTCAGATTAGCAACGGCGCAATCAATTGTGCATGGCCGTCGTGCTAATTGTGTATTATGTGAAAGTTATGACATAACAAAATAGTTAACATTGCATATATGAAGGTATATATACATATATACCTTCAACTTCAAATGATTTTAAGTTTGAATGCTAAATCTGAGAGAAATTCAATTTGGAGTCTGAGCATAAAAAGAATTGTCTGAATTGTATATGCAGTGAAAAAGTGTGCTTGCTGCATAAATGTCATCTATTGGCAACCAAGCCATCTCATGCATTTTTTAGCTCTATTTTTAGTGTGCTTGGTTATATATACTGTATAACTCCTACTTATTAACTATTGAATCTAGAAGTGTATGGAAGCAATGAAGCCCAAGAAAAAGGTTATAGAAATTGACAATTGGAGTGAAAGCAGTACACATGGTGGATCTGGCAGCCATGTTTAAGATGCCAAAGCCAACAATGTGGACCAATAAATGGAATTTTTATTTTATTATATAGTATTTATGTTTTCTATTTATTTTTTAGGACATTTAATTGTATTATTTTTATCTTAAATTATGTGTATTTACTGTTTTAAGTTTATCAAAATGGATATTATTTATGATCTGGGAACAGATTGTTCACTTTCATTACTTCTAATGGGGAAAATTGATTCAGAGTTTGAACCTCCTGGAACAAATTAAATTCAAAGTACAAGGCACCAATGTGTAATTAAAATCTGGGGAGAACACAGTATATAAATTATAGCAATTATAACTGTACCATAACATTTTCTTCTAATATAAATTATTCTTCCATTGTAGGTAAACTGTTCTGTAGTTCTTGCATAGATATTCCTCTGGAATTTCTTGTAGACATTGTTCGCCTCAGAGTTCGAATCTTCTTTTGTGTTTTATTACTTACTAGCATGGACTGAGTTCGATGGAGAGCACATCTGTCTCTATTATCTAGAAAAATATTTAATTTAAATTTTTTAAAATCTAACTTTCAATTTTAAATAAAAAATAAAATTAGTATACTTTGTAGAGTCATTCAGTAATATCAGTAATATTTCCAATCTCTTTCATAAAAAAATATTAATTAAACTAAATCTTAATTTACTTTTATATTGTTTTGGAATAAATTAATATTAAACAATTTTTAATATTCTGAACACAATTTGTAAAGATAATTAATTAACAAAAGCAGATACTGTAGTCCCTAGTTAACACAATTCATTAATAATGGATAATTTTCTTTCTTTTTTTTTTTTTTTTTTTTTTTTTTCTAGACGGCGCCATCTGGGCTTCATTTCGGTTGCCTGCACGTACGGTGCGACTGGGTGAGTTTGGGATAGTCTTGTTGGAAAATAAGCTGCCCGTTGAGCCCCCACTTCCTGCCGTTTTCTTTTAAAATTTTCTTTTTCTTTAAGATACATTGGAGGGTGGGGTCCTTGTTCATGTTAAACCCGGGCGTTACGGGTTGCGCCAGTGGAAGCGAACATGTGTCGGGAAGGATATGATTGATGAGGTAATAAAGGCGTTCCAAACCTCCCCCCTTGCTGGGCATTTAGGTGCCGAGAAGACCCACGATCTCATAGACCGTCATTACCATATTAGGAACCTCCCATCTCACGTGAAGCGTTATATCAAAACCTGCGTTACCTGTCAAAAACATAACTTGCACCGTACCCGCGCTCCACTCCAAGAAACGGAAACCGCTGACTTTCCGTTTCAGAAGATCGCTATGGATATCATTGGTCCCCTTAACATCACTCCGAGGGGAAATAGGTATCTTCTTTCGATCGTCGATATATATACTAGGTACGCTGAGGTCTGCCCCATGAGTAATCAATCCGCAACAACCGTTGCCGAAGCATTATTCGAACGTGTCGTTTGCCGTTATGGCTGCCCTGAGGTGGTCGTGTCTGATCGTGGTGGAAATTTTACCTCGCGGGTATTCCAGGAAGCTTGTGAAACTTTAAAAATCAAACATAATCTCACCACCGCCTATCGTCCCTGTGCCAACTCCGTATGCGAAAGGTTCAATAAATCCATTTGTGGTGTGATATCTCGTATTTCTGGAGGGAACAATAGAGATTGGGATATATTTGTCCCCCCAGCCCTCTTTTCTTACAATAATGCGTCTCACGCCTCCACAGGTGAATCGCCTGCTTTTCTTTTATATGGTTTCGACCCACGTTTCCCATGGGCTTTTCCGAGCGATATGGAGACTAACGTAACGAGTGACGGATCTCATAACGAGTGGAGAGAGAAGTTAAAGTGCATCCGTGAGGTATCTTATGAGTTAGGGAGACATAAAAATAGGTGTAATCGTAACCGCATTAATAATAACCGTAAGATCAGTGAATGGGAGAGCGGACAGCGCGTATGGCTACTCCGTAAGGGGAACGGAAGGAGGTTTGGGAAGTTTTCCGCCAAGTATCTT